TGCGCATGACTGGCGGGGGTGGGGGGGGGGGGGCCTGCGCCCTCCTCCTCCTCCGCCTGTGCCGCTCCCTCCCGTCGCCGCGGCCGCGGCCGTTGGCGGGCTGCCCGCTGCCCGGGCGCCGGCCCCTTCTGCGTGCCAATGGTCTTTTCCTTTTCCCTTGCCGCCCTTGTGGTGCTTCGGCTCTCCTTCCATCTCAGCGCTCGCTCCGCGTTCGGGCCGTGGTAGTCTCCGCGGTGCCATCGCCGTTTTTCGCGCAGTGCGGCCCGGGGCGGCGGCAGCGTGCGCGCGCCTGAAAACTTTCCAAGGATTGAGTCTGCAAGCCGCAGAGGATGCAGGCGAGGGAAAGGTGCTCGCGTAGCGGGCGACTCCAATAGCTTCTGTGATTGTATAGCATTTCCCGTGACTCTCCGTTGCCCTCGCGACATGGTCGGTTGTCTTTTTGGAGCGAAAGAACTCATGCACCATGGGCGTTGGTTCGTGATCACCAGGCTGGGGATAAGCGGGAGACAGTTGCGCGCCACTCTCCTGGTGCCCTGCCAGCGCCGCCACCCTAATAAGTCGCGGCCCGCGCACCTGCCCCTCTGTCTCAGTCTCCCAGTCGCACCAATGTGAGCCACCACTTCTCCTTCCGCCGTAATTTCTCAAAACATTGTGTCCCATGCCCCTCCAGCGTGGCGTGAGGTGCTGGGTCCGCCCCAACCCGGGCTTCCCAAATCTCTCGTGTCCTTCTTGAACGTTGCAATGTTTGACTGCCTCCTCGGGCACCAGCTCCCCGCGCCCTCGCTGGCCCCCGCGGGCGCCTGGAAGTCCCTGGCCTCCTGTTGGCCCATGGCGCAGATGCTTACATGCCCGCCCATGTTCCAATCTCCTGATCTGGCAGGAGCTGCCCAGCTTCGACTCTCCAAAAACTGCCATCCACACGCTGCCGCAATCCTCTGGATCTTTCGCCGATTGTCTGCACCGCCGTAGCCTTCATGTCCTCGGGTCTGTCGAACAGCGCGGTGTCCTCCATCTCCTGAAAACCTCCTGGTTGGCGTAGCACCTGGTCGTGTCTTCTGCTTCTACCCAGCTCACCTGGCCTCCTGCCATTATTCTCAAGAATGGTGCCATCGTATTGTCGAGCGCTTTCAAGTGACGTTCCTCCAGTGCAAGTGCCGTCGATCCACTTAGGCATGCCCCCGAAACGTGCGCCTGTAACATTCATGTTTTGTTTATCTTGTATGCAGTCTCTGAAAGCCAGAGCTATTCGCGTTGTCTGTAAGCCAACTGCATGGCCTCTCGCCTCCTCTTCATCTCTCCCGCGTATCCTTGATCCCCTGGTAGGTGCGGCACCAATGCTCTCATCTCCCTCATCGGCGTGCCCTTGATGCTTCCCCCCCCTCCCCCTCTCTCTCTCTCTCTCTCTCTCTCTCTCTCTCTCTCTCTCTCTCTCTCTCTCTCTCTGTAGTTGCCTTGTGGCCCCGCCCCGCCCTGCTCGAAGGGCCGCCAGGCGGTTGGTCTTGGCTGGGCCCAGGCTCCAACCTCCTCTCTCCAGCTTGCGCTCTAGGCGCTGCGTGGTGGCATTGATCTGGCGTGCAATTCTTCTCGCGCGGACCCTTGGGCGATCCGAGATAACGTCGCTTCCGCGCAGAGCCGATTGGATCTGGGGGCCTGAGAGGGCCGAGAAGTCCTCGCCTTCGCCTAGCCCCAACTGGTGTTTCGAGATCACCCCGCTCGCTCCAGTCTCCAGTGGGATCGGCTCCGACGAGGCCACTGTTTGGATCTTGGTGGTGTCGTCCATGACAGTGTTGAGCGAGAGGTCGTGTTCTTGTTCGTTGACTGGGCCCACTGTATCAAGTGCTGTCTTCGTCTCGCCCCTCTCCCTCTCTTCCTGGCGCCATTGTCCCGCGTGGAGGTTGTTGGTGTCACTGAACTGCCCTGGGCGCGAGGTAAAACCCATGCGCGCCCCTCGCGCGGCCCTTGCGCGCCGCTAATCGCCCGCGCATTCCATGCCCATTGATGCGTGGTGTAGCGCATCGACAGCGAATGGTGGGCCCTCCTCTGTCGACGTGGCGAAGACTGATGCCGGCGGGAGGTTGCGCTTCGTGCTCGCGAAGGCGTTTGTGTGGTGCCCGCTCCTGCCTGCCTTGCTCTCCACTGCGTTGCTTCGACGCAAGTGATCGCGTTCTCTCTCTCGATCAATTTCTAAGCCACCCCTGCGCCCGGCATGGGCGCCTCGGTGTTTTCCCATCTGCGGTGGCTGCCTGTGTGAAAGCGCCATTCCCATTGAGCAATGTGCGCGCGTGACTCATTTTCCTCCAACCTCCTATTTTGATTGCCTTTTTTTTCTGCAGATACGTGAACAGAACTGTGCCAATCCAGTGGGGTAGCCTGAGATTTGCAACACTTGATGGGGATGTCCTCTAGCTTCTTCCTGCGCTCTATACTCGCGTCTTCCTCCAGCGCCGACGATCCAGAATCCCAGCTCAGCTTTCTCATATCCCAGTTATATATATAAACAAAAACAAATACGACACACACACATATATATATGTAGTTATATGTGTAGATGGTATCGCTCTGTCTGGTGTCCAACGCATTTTTTGCAATATAGACCTTCCCACTGTGCGCTTGTATAATGAGCTGTGCTTGTCCAAGTCTTCCTCGTCCACTCGCTTCTCCGCCCCCTGTGCTTTCTGCTCCTCCAGCTTCTTGCTCAGCTGCTCGAAGTCTTCCAGGTGGACTGTGGGTTGTAGTATTATCCATGATGGTTCCACTGGTGCTCCCCGCGGAGGGGGAACGCCCCCCTTTGTCGCTTCCCTGCAGTACTTCAGCATGTCGCTGTTGTCCCTCTCCACTTGTGCTTTCAACTCCATGTCCAATTGGGCCCGCATTTGTCCTGCCCGCATCTCGCCATGCTCCTGCTCGTACTCTACCAGGTCCATCGGTATGGCTGCCAGCCCCCCTTTCGCGGGGGTGTTTGCTCAGTTATTTGAGCAATTCCTCTGTGCTCCACCATGTCCTCGTTGAACAATAATACCTCTTTTTCGGTCCGCCCCCATTCCTCTGGTATTCCACCCTGTGCCTGTGCATCTCGCTGAAGTTGCTCTTCTCGTATGGTCTCCATGTTTCTTCCGCCAACTTCTTTTTTCTTTCCTTTTCTAGGACTGGCCTGTCTCTTCGTAGCACAATGTGCATCTTCGCCAACTCCTTCTTGGTCTCCTCACATCTCTCCTGCGTGTCGGACTCTACCATGTCCACTCTTAGCGTCATTTTTATTGCCAGCTGGGAATAACGTATTCGTTGGAAGCCGGCCACCTCCTTGTCGATAAAGAATACTTCTTCCTACTTATTTCATGGATTTCCTGCCCGCCTCGCTCCATTTCTTCCACATCTGGTCTGCCGTGAGGTATTCCTGTAATTGTTTCCGTTCTTCCTCTGCCGTTATCTCCCCTAGCGTAGCACTCCGAGAAAATCTTGCGAACGCATCCCCTGGGAACTCGGCAAGTTCCTCCTGGGTTGCACTCCGAGAAAACCTCGCTACTGCATCTCCGCGGAGAACTGAAGGATCGGCCTGGGTCGCGTTCCGAGAAAACCTCGCTAATGCTCCTCCTGGCCGTTGAAGCAGGGCGGCCTGCAGGTGGCGGTAGAACGCGCTCAGGAATTCCGCCCTCAGGCGGCTTTTTCTCAGGCGCTCCATCAGTATGCTGCGATCCACCACTTCCTTGCTTGTTTTTTGCTTCCGGTGTTTGCTCGAGAAATTGATGCTCCAGTCCAATATCCATGCCAACAAATGTCTGTGGCATCCCGTGTTTTTGTGTCTTTTTTTGTTGTTTTGCTTTGTTTCCTTATTTGCCACTCCTCTCAATGAAGCGCATTTTCGAACATAGGGGTAAGGCCCCCGACGGTGTCGCTATGTGGTCTACCTTGCTCGTCCTTATCTTCTCGTCTTTCACGTAGTAGTAGATAGGCCCGCATATATCAAAGTCGTGACCACTGACAATAAGCTGTGCACACACAACTCCCAAAATGTTGTACCATTATCGTTCTCCACATCCTTGGCCACTGGTCCCAATGCTGCTGCATGTTGGCCCGAGCAATGCCTGCTGACCACCAGATCCCTGATGTCTGACCGTTGCATTCCCAACTGGTTGTTGAAGTCCCTTCCCACAATGATAGTAGATGTGCCACCCGTGTCGTCGCAGACCCACTGCATATTTGTTGATATATTATCATTGTTTGTGTCCCGTCTATCTGGCCTGGCGGTAAACACGTTGCGAAGATTGTGACGTCGCGTGCTGTCGTCCGAACTCTGACCCCCGCCGTTCTTCCATGCAGTTGGGCAGGTGGTGGGAACTGCGTGTGGAAGGCCTTGTTTTTCATCATCTCGTTGGATACCAGGAGCGTTGTACCACATGACTTGTTGATCCATCATCCCTTCTCTGCCCCGAATTGCAGTGCCGTATGATATCTGTGACTCGTCTTCTTCATCGGCTCTGGACCAGCCCACTGGTGTGTCCCTATCAACACAATCGCCTCTCACTCTCCGAATGCGCTGCTAATTTCTTCTCGCCTGTCCGTGGTATTCGCCGCCAGCGGATTTTATAGTACCAATTTCATCAATGCACATATCGAGAACACTGCAGCCGCCATCCATCTGCCATGCCGCCCCAGCTCCCCGTTTGGCCCGTGAAATTGCTGGGCGGTCGTCGTGTGAGAGAGTTTCAGCAACTCCTCTCTCCGTGGGATCTCAAAGTGCCTGAGCTTCCAACGCCGACTAGGAGGACGACGAAGAGGACGAGGAGGAGGAGGAGGAAGAGGACGAGGAGGAGGAAGAAAAGAAGGAAGAGGAGGAGGAAGAGGAGGAAGAGGACGAGGGAAATGACGAAAACGAGGCGGAGGAGGAGAAGGATGCCGACGACAACGATGACGACGATGCTGACGACGACGCGGCAGCCGCCGCCGCCGACGACGACAACAACGACGACGACGACGACGGCGGCGACGACCCGCGCCGCCGCCTCGGAAGGGGCCGCCGCCGCGGTGGGCGCGCAGGCGGCGGCTCGCGGTGGCGCCGGGCAGCCGTGGGGCGTGGCGGGGCCGGCCTGACGCGGGGCGGCAGCCGGCACCGCCGCCGCCGTCGCCGCCGCCGCCGCCGCCGTCGTCGTCGTCGTCGTCGTCGTCGTCGTCGTCGTCGTCGTCGTTGCGGCCGCCGCCGCTGTCGTCGTCGTCGTCGTCGCTTCCGCCACCGCCGCCGTCGTCGTCGTCGTCGCCGCGGCGGCCGCCGTCGTCCCTTAAAATCCGGGCTTTGCATTTCGTTTCAAGCCGGGCGTCTTCGATCGTTTCAATACGCAAGGGCAATCACGGATCGATCCAGCTCGAGCAATGCCGCAGACAGATGGGGTCCGGGGCTCTGGTCGAGATCCCTCGCGAAGTTGATTCACTTCGCAACTTCGGATCTCAGGGGTCGTCATTGCCCGCCGCCGCCGTCGTCGTCGTCGTCGCCGTTGTTGTCGGTGTTGCCGCCGCCGTCGTCGTTGACGCCGCCGTCGCCGCCGCCGACGCAGCCGCCGCCGCCGTTTTCGTCGTCGTCGTCGTCGACGTCATTGTCGTCGCTGTCGCCGCCGCCGCGGTCGTTGCCGCCGCCGCCGCTATCGTCCTCGTTGCCGCCGTCGCCGTCGTCGCTAGCCCCCGCCGTCGTCTTCGTTTCAAAAAATCCACCGACTCTGTCGGCGTGTGGAAGACGCTGTTCTGTTTGTTCTGACGTCGTCGTCGTTGTCGTAGTCGTCGTCGTCGCCGCCTTGTTTAACCTCCTTTTCCTGGGCCCGTCGCCGCTCCCCCCCTTTCGCTGGGCCCCCTTCCTCGAGCGAGCCAGCCAAATCGAAGTCAAAGCGAAATTGGGCAACGTCGCTGTTGATTCGAAGGGTGGCCCCTTCCTTTTGATCCCTTGCCCTCCTGGGGTGCGGGGCGGGGGCGGGGCGGGGCGGGGCCCTGGGTGACGCCGTCGCCCCCGGGGGGGCCCGGGGTCCACGCAGGCCCCGCGACGGCCCAAAATGCCCCGAGACGTCCAAGAGGGCTCCGGATCGCCGAACAACCTGTCCAAGACGCCAGGAATGGCCTCCTGACAGCCCAAGCGGCTTCCGAGACGCTCGAAGAGGCCTCCGAGAGCACGCCGAGAGGGCCCCGACGGGCAAACGTGCATGATTTTCTTCTTGGTATTTGGAATATTCTGTTTTTCTCGCCGCATCGGCTTCCCGACGCCCGAAGACGGCCTAAGATGCCGCCGCGATGCCGCTAAGATCGGCGCAAGGGGCCCCGAGAGGTTTCCAAAAAGGTCCTGGGAAAGTACCAAGAGGACCCCAAAACGGCCCCGGGAGCCTCTCAGACGGCCCAGGAGGCCACCAGAAAAAGGCTCCAAGAGGGTGCCCACGCGGGATCCAAACCAAAATGTCGAGCCCTCGGACCCGCGAGGCTCCGAGGAGGCCCCGAGAGGCCTCCAATATGCCGCCGGGGTGCCCCGGGAGGCCGCCAGGAAGCCCCGAGGGGCCCCTCGCAGGCTCCCAGGAGGCTCCCAAGGTGTTCCCAGGAGGCGCCGCAACCGCCGCCCCCCCCCCCCCCCCGCGCCCCTCAGAGGCTTACGAGCGCGCCCCGAAGAGGCCCCGCAAAAAAATCGCAGAGGCCGCAAGGCCTTCCCAATCCCAGCAAGGGGCGCCATTTTCCAATGATTCCACGCAACGCCCAGGGTGAGTGCTCTGCCGCGTCAGGCCGCGCTGAGGAGCCCGAGAGGGCGAGCGGGTCAAATCGGCGCAAGGGTGTCCTGGCCGCTCGCTGGGCGCAGGTGGTTCAGCGCGCCACTTCTCTCCGAATGCCACCTTCTTTCGCGCCGCCCCCCCCCCGCCCCGCCCCGGGGCCGACCGATGCCCGAGCGAATCGCGGGCGGGCGCGAGGCGGCGAGGGGGCTGCCTCAGCCTCGCTCCCGTGCGCACCCGCCTCTAGAGGGGTGGCGCGTGCGAGGGCGCCGCGCCCCTCCCCTCTGGTGGAGGAGGGCGCGGATTGCGCCCGCGTCTTAGCGCGGCCCGATCCTGGAATACTTATCGAGCTGCGTCTGTCGCGAAAGGGGGGGGGGGGGGGGGGGGGGGCGCGACGGCTGGGCGGGGGGCGGCGCGTCGGGAGATCAAGGCGCGCCGCGCGCCCCCCTCGCGCGCCTGTCTGCTTCTGGTGAATTTCCATTCCTTGCCCAACTTCGCCGCCGAGCCCCCCTTGGGCGCCGGGGTTTCCACCTCCTTGGCCGCCCTCGAACGCGTCGCGATGTCGCGCTGCAGCTGCGTGCCGGCGGCCGTGGGCGCCTCGTTGACCCTGGGCGCCCTCGGCGCTTCCTTCTTGATCCTCGGGTGGTGGTTCGCCGCGAATGCCCGCTTCGCCTTCGCCTCGTCGCCCTCGTCGTCCATGCCGTTGGTCTTCGCCCTGAGGCGCCTGTTCGCCGCGGTCTTCTCCCGTGGGCTGGGCCAGCTTGGCCATGCGCATCAGCACCTCGAGCGCCTGCTCTGCCTCGATCGGTTCCACCCCCTGTTCCACGGCCGCCGCCGCTTGGTCCTTCTTGCCGCCCCCCCCCGCCGCGCGGAAGATCGCCGCCTCCGCCGGCGCGTCGGGTCGCTCGCCCAGGGGGTTGCCCGCGTAGTCTTCGTGGGTCTCTTGCGCCTTACGGTCTCCTGCCGTGCGACCCTCGTCATCGTGGCGCGTCGTCGCGTGGTTCGCCATCTTCTGTGTCGACTTGAGCGGTGCGACGAAGTTGTCGCCCCGACGCGCCGCCCTCGCAACGTCCTTGTGGTGCAGTGCCAGGCGCGCAGGGGCCTTGCCCAGGGGGCCCGCGGCGTCGCGTGCCCCGCCCTTGCCCTCGCCCCCTCCCCCTGCCCCCGCCGCTAACCTTTTGTGGCCGCTTGCCGTCGTCGACTGCGCCTCGCCGATCGGCCCGAGCATCGGCGCCGACCGCTGGCGGGGCTGGCAAGTGTGCGGGGGGGGGGGGGGGTCGCGTCGGCCGTTGGAAGTCCCCGGGGCGTTGCTTGAGCCTGGGCGCCGTCGGGGCGAGCAGAGCAACGGCTCGATCGGATGCGTCGCAAGAGAGTGTCCTCACTTGCGAAGGACCTCGCGCAGTGCGAGCATTTCTTCTGTTTCAAATCTGCGTCGGGCAAAATCTCCGCCGTCGGGTTCGCGCGCATCTTGCGCGCTGCTCGTTGGTGGTTTGCAACGCCTTCTCCCCGTTGCAACTTTGACCGCGCACGTCGCGCCCCCGCCGAGTGATTGCGGAAGAATACGCAGTGGCGCCCGCGGCAACTCCACGCGTCGGTGGTTTCCTGAAGCATCGCGGCCCCAGGGAAGCAAACCAGCGCAGCCGCGGCTCAGTCAGCCCAGGTAAATCTCCCTGGAGGAGAAACAAGCGGCGGGCTTCACCCTGCTCCTGTGGGTCCACCGACGACCGACAGTGGCGCATGTCATTTTTCAGCAGTGCCGGCGTGCCCGGCTGTTCCACGCGCCCCGTCATCTCGAACGAAAGCCGCCCGAAAACGACTGCCCTAACCGCTGGGGTTGGGTCGTGCAAATCCTCGTTCAGCTCGCGGAAATCGGGCCACAGCACCTGTCTCCACCGCCATAGTCGCCTCATCAGCAGCGTGCTCATGACCGTCGGCGTCCTGGCCGCCCTCGTGACCTCCCGATGTGTCTTCTTGAAGAGGTGGGCTGGCCTGTTCAGCAAGCCGCGCAACTTGCGCGCCTGCCAGCTCTCGAGCCGATTCATCTCCATCTGGGTGAAACTGGTGACTTCCAAACAATAGAAGCACGCTGATCGTGCCAATGCCTTCCGCAGTCTGATCTCCAGTTTGGCACTGAAGCCGCTCTGGAACGCTCGGCGTTGCAGGCGCGCGCGCGCGTGGAATTGGCTGCCGTGATCCTGCTTGCGACCTCACCCTGGCGGGTGCCCGTTGCCGCCGACTGCGCTCCAAGATGCTTCGCCGTCGCCTGGGGGCGTGGGGGGAAGCTGCCGCCACCCCCCCATGCCGCGACACTCGCGGTGCGTGCCCTTATCCGCTTCGGTGCCTCCTTAAGCTTCCCACCCCCGCCGGCGTGAGGAGGAGCTCGGTCTTCTTCCAGTTGACCTTCGCCCCCTGTGCTTGATCTCTCCCGTCGCATTTACGGGCGCGTCATCGACCTCGTCGGTCTCTGCGAGAGCGAGCAGGTCATCCAAATGCTCCAGCTGCATCGCATCTAGTCGCTCGCGCGAGTCCTCCTCCAAGCCGTCGCTGCACCTGATCCTCATGGGCGCCCTGTCGAAACGCGCCTGGATGGCCGCGAACTCGTTGCACTTCAACTGCTCCGCGACCTCCCCCGCGAGCCCGTCGTATACCACGGCGAAGAGGCTCGGCCCCCCCCCCCCCCCCGACGCGCAGCTCCTCGATCGTTTCCCCGGCGTCCCACCTTACCTGAAGGTCCGCCAAACTCTGCCAGATGTTCTGGCGGTCCACCATGTCGAACTCCTTCTCAATGTCTGTCAGCGCCGTGAGTAGCATCGGCGGCGGGGTCGAGCAGCTTCCCCTCTGCTTAGCGTGATGGGCCCTCTGATATCGCGCAATAACTTCTCATGCCACCGCCGCGGCGTCGCGCGCCCCGCGCCACGGCGTCGCCTGAAACTGAGTCGGCGAGAACCTGTGGGCCACCTTGCGCATCGCGCCGATTGTCGCCACCCTCGCAAATGCCTTCCCGACGCGGTTATAAAATGGATCGACCTGTAGTCTTTCACCGCCGAGCTGCCGCGCCCCCTGGGCTTCCTCAACAGCATCGCCCCCCCGCCCTTGAACCTCTGCGGTGCCTCTCCCAGCGCCCGCGCCGCGTTGGAGACCTGATGCAGCAGGGCGCCGCCGTGTCGACCACCGGCTTCCGCGCCTTGGCCACCGCGCCCGCTGGCGGCCCACCCTATGGCCAATGTAATGTTGGCCCTCCGTTCATGTTCGGCAGCTCAACGATGCTCCTTCTTACTTCTTCGATGTCGCATGGGCCGACCCTGCAGCCGTCTCCGCCCGCCCTTCCAGCGCGCGGGGGAACTCCGTAGAGCCTTGTCGCTTGTCCATCGCACTCTTGTCATATGCCCAGAACTCCCGCCCGCCGATCACCTTCTATATCGAAGCGTGGCAGCCCCGTGCTCGGGCCACTCACCGGCGTGATGGGGGCTGCGGGCTTCTGGGCCATCTTATCGACGATCGCTTCGGGGCCACCTTGTCTTATCTGATCGCTTCGGGGCTCACGGCTCCGTGGGTTCCTCTGCCCAGCTGCGCGCTCGGCCACCTCCGCCAGCGCCGCCGCCTGCTGTCTCCTCTCGCTGCTGATCGCGGCCGTCGCCGCCCTCGCCGCCATGTCGAACTGCTGCTGAAACTGACGCCTCAACCGCCTCGATCCATCAGGTATGGCTGCCAGCTGCCTCTGCCAGTGCTGCTTGCTCTTGATCAGGTTCACCGCGGGCTCGCTGAATGCTGCGACCGCTCTCTCACCCTTCGCTGGCGGCGCTCTGTAATCCTGTAGCGCCGCGTCTATGATCGCTCCCTCCATCCCGTCAAAATACACCGACGGGGACTCGAACCGCTTTCCCGCGCCGCATCTGTTCCACAAGTTCACCTGCAGTCCCTTCGCCTCGATACCTTCACGTATTTCGTCTCGAAGCTCAAGTGGGCGTCGGGGGCGCTGCACGGCGCTGCCTTCGTCGTTCTCCGCCTGCAGTCATGAGATCGGCCAGCAAGACCTCGCGCCGCCATCTGTGGCGGCCCGCAGGCCTCGCGGGAGGGGTCCTGGCACCTGCATGCATAAATGTCTCCATTGGCCTGTGGTCCCTGTAGCAGCCAAGATTGAATGGGAGGTCTGCCCTAGGCCGCGACGAGTAACCGCCATCATTGCCTTCGTGCCAACGCGTAGCCAGTCGTGGTCCACGTCCCCTGTGGGCGTCGCCGCGCGCCGTTGAATCTGCCTTTCTTCCCGCAAGCGTTGAGTACCATCCGCCCGTAGTCCTCCATTATCCATCAGCGCGTGACCATTGCTGTTGATCATCGGCCCCGTTCGCCGCGCACCCGCGTGACCAACCCACGGCAGACTCGGCGGCGCATGGGCAGTGGCGTCCAATGTCACGACCAGGACTGTCTGCGCAAGGGTTTGGCTCTTACCGCGCCGCGGCAGGCTCACCAGAAGCGGTCTCGGGATTCTAAGTGTCTAAGTGCTTCTCGCGGTGCTCTAAAGCGCCCATGCCCTCAGGAAGATGGCCTGCCTCGTTGATTGGAGCGTCGCCGTTCAAACTGTATCGGTCGCGCTCGAATATCTTGCTGCTCGCGCTCCCGTTCCTGATGCCCTGCAACTTCCCTTCCGGCCACGCATGCTCACAAGGTGCTTCGCTCGTCCTAAAGAACGTCATGCTGATCACCGTGAGGCAACCGTCGCGCTGGCCATTGCCCGACCTAGCAAGGGAACGCATCTGGTAAGAACCAGCCTTCCAAGTTTTCCCCAAGTCCATTTGTTCGCCTTGCTTGGTGAATCTCGCTACGTCCTCTGCCTTGGCCAATTCCAGAAACTCGTAGGCTGCCCACCCTGCGTAGCGACTCCGCATTGAAACTCCACACCTTGAGCGTCCTCACCTTCAGCGGAAACGTCACACCGTGTGGGGCCGTTCCTCCTTCCCTGTACCGTGCTTTTACCTCGACCTTCATCTGGTAATGACAGCAGCTGGGACACCGAGCCCTGCACCTCGGTGGAAGCCAGCTGCGCGGCTGCAACACGCGTAATCCTCCTTCCATGGTGCCAGGCTGCCCCCGCCACCAAAGCAAATATCGCTGCTCGCCGCAGAGCCCGCTTGCCACACATGACCCTTGCGCCCTATTTGCAGCAACGTAGTTGCCACAACACAGCGTCGCCGTTCTCGCGGGTCGGGCTCCCCGCGAACGCTCACCTCGCAGTGGTCAGAGAAGCCGTTCTCCCCCGCCTCAGCGCCCAGCACCCGCCAAGGGCACGGCCGAAAGGATATGTGCACTGGCCAGGACTTGCGACCTGGCACGGCGTCCGCTGCGACGCGCCCGTCTCGAGCCGCCGACCGAGGCTTCCGCCAACCTCCGCTGGCTTCCGCCGACAGAGACCGTAGCGTTTTGCTTCCGCTGGCCTGGCCTTCCGCCGCCCTCCGCCAAGGGTGTGATGTCGACCCGTCGATCCCTCGAGGGCGCGGCAATTCTCGGAACGCCCCATGTGGGCTTCGATAGCCGCTGCTGGAAACAAGGCTCGTTCCTGGATCGCGGCGCGAAGTCCCCCCCCCCAAACCGCCAGAATCGCAGCTTCACGCGGCGTGGTCGTCGAGAACACGGACGCCCAGACACTTGTCCTCCACTGCGGTGGTGAGGTAACCTCCAGTGCAGCAAGCGGGCCATGTTCTAAGCTTGCTGGCCACCTTGTGTGCGCGGCACGTGGAAAACCCGGTGCGATCTTACGCAAGCCGAACTTCCGAGCAGCAAGGACAGTTGGACGCATGTACGTGGGCGGACGAGTGAGAGGCCAAGGCAAGGGCACACATACACACACTTTTTCCTCCAGCGGTGATGGCGGTATCGTCGCGAATACTAAGGCGGCACATACATAGTTTAACAACACCTGGCGCTTCATATCGGTGGATATCGTAATCCATACGGGCATACAGAAGAAAAGGGCTGGGATAGGCAAGCGGGTGTGTCTGAGACAATTCCATAACACATGCACGCCATGCAGGAGAGAGTCAAACATGGGAGAGCTATCATAATCCATCAGACACACATACCCACAGGCACATCAACACGACACATACTGAGACCATGCAACGCAACACAACGCAAAGCAGCACAAGACACCACGACGCATCACAGCTCACCAAAAACAATGCAACACCACAAACATCAAAGCACTGCTCCTCCCGCCTCCCTCGTCCCCCTCCTATCCGAGTGTTCTCCTTCTCCTCCTCCTCGTTCTCCTCCTCATCCTTCGTCCTCCTCGGTCTTCGTTCTCCTTCCTCCTCCTGCTCCTCCCTCCCCAAAGGCCTCCGGGGGTCTCCTGAGGTCTCCAGAGTTCTCGGTGGTTCCTTGGAGGCCCCCGAAATTCGAAGAAAAGGCCAACTGCGCGCAAACACATCTGTTACTCCTCCTCCTCCTCCTCGCTCCTCCTCCTCCTCCTCCTCCTCCTCCTCCTCCTCCTCCTCCTCCTCCTCCTCCTCCTCTCTTGCTGCTGCTCCTCCTCGCTCCTCGTTCCTCCTCGCTACTCCTCTCTTGCTGCTTCTCCTTCTCGCTCCTCGCTCCTCCTCTGCTTTTCCCTCTGGCGTGGGCCTCGATGATCGCCACGCGGTGCGCGAGTAGGTCTGCCTCTGGCGCGGCGGCTGGCGAAGGCCCATTGGTGCTGAGAAAAGTCTTCTTCGTCGTCGTCATCGTTGGGACAAGGAGGATGAAAGGGAGCCGGAGGAGAGAATGAGGAGGAGGAGGAGGAGAAGGAAGGAAGAAGGGGAGGAGGAGGAGGAAGAGGAGGGGGAGAAGGAGGAGGAGAAGGAGGAGGAGAAGGAGGAGGAGGAGAAGGAGGGCGAGGAGGTTAGAGAGAAGGAGGAGGAGGATGAGGAGGAGGAGGAGGAAGAGGAGGGGGAGGAGGAGGAGGAGGAGGAGGATGCGGAGGAGGATGAGGAGGAGGACGAGGAGGAGGAGGAGGAGGAGGAGGAGGAGGGGGGAAGGGAGGAAAAGGAGGAGGAGAAGGCGGAGGAGGAGGAGGCGGAGTAGGAGGAGGAGGAGGAGAACGAGGAGGAGGAGGAGTAGGAGAAGGATAATGGGGGGAGGAAGAGGAGAAGGAGGAGGAGGAGGAGGCGGAGGAGGGGGACGAGCCGGAGGAGGAGGAAGAGAAGAAACAGAAAGAGGAGGAGGATGAGGAAGAGGAGTCAGAGGAGGGAATGAGGAAGGGAGGCAGGAGGGGTAACAGGGTCTCGGCCGTGGTCGTCGTGATCGTGGTCCTCGTGGTCGTGCTTGTGGTCGTCGCCACCGCCGTCGTCATTCCTTCGTGACCGAGGAGGGGGAGAGAGGGGGATACACAGAGAAGGCTTGAAGCTTTTGGTTTTGGTGGGTCGAGCGCAAAACCATGTTCCGACGAGGATGTGGCGGACCCAGAACTTCCAGGCGCAAATTCCCGCCGATGTCTTCACGTGTGGAGACATGCGCGTCAGCAAATGTAATCAAGCTGCGAAATCATCGAGGGCCAATCGCTGAGTTAGAACCTCTGCGTCCAGCAGTGGCAACAAGACAGATGCTTGACGATGGGCGGAAGCGTGGCAGGGTCGTGTACGCAGGCCTGGCACGTGGTGCCCAGCACCGAGCAGCGGGGTCAGAGGGGAGGGGGTGGTCATTGGCAACATGTACCATCATCCCTTAGGGCGTCCTCGCAACGAAATCACACAAGTAAGACGACACACCTGCACTGGCCGAGGCTCAATCTCGGACGTTTGTTTTGGGAGGTGTGAGTGTGTGTGTGTGTGTGTGTGCCTGTGTCTGTGTGTGAGTTTGGGGTCACATCGGGCCCTTCGCACACAATGCCGATAATCTTGTGCGATTCCCTAAGAACGTGGTTTAGTTGTGTGTTCACCGACATCTTGTGCTCACTCTCTTGCTTGCCAGACGTCTGAAAGGCTTTGTTTCACCATCGACAACGCAGCTCAAACAAGTAATCACGATGCCCCCGAGCTTGCTCCACGAAGCTTGCAGCCGACGATTTGTGAAACCGATGGGACGGATAAGAGGGACAGCGAAATGAAGAGTGGAGGATGAAGGAGCGGGCATCGTGGTGACCAGACTCGGACGTCACGCGCACCAGACGCTGAACACCCTGGCAGAGCCATAGACAGCACTAGCGACAGGAGGACGAATGTCAGACAAGCGCAGAAGCAAGGCCGTGGTTCATTTCCAGTAACGCGTCGCGTGTGCATCCCCGGCGGTCCGACTGACCACTCATACAACTAGGCCGCACAACATGGTAGCCAAAGACACGCACGGTGCATTGCAAATCCAAGACCCTGCAGAGCCGCAGGCGGTATGAAAACAGCCAACACCCCTGACACGCCAGAGAAGAGATCAGGAAGAGGAGGGAAGAATCTACGGAGCAAGAAGGGCAGCCAATCAGTCGACTGGTCGGCATGTGCAGGTGTGGGCGAGCGCACTCACCAACCTTTTCAAGTACGTCGCTGAATAACGGAGGCACCTCTGTGGCCCGCATCATCGACGTGCCGAGTCCAGGTGCCGAGAGGGCGAGCCTAGGGCGACGTGGAGCGGCCTTCGGGGTAGGCCTCGGGCAGCCATAGGCTAGGCCCACGCGCGCTGCCCGTGCACCTAATCAAAAGAACAGGCGGATAACGAAGGAGAGAGGACGGATGTGAAAGGGGATCACAAAGGGGAACTTGGTTGAGAAACATACCAGATTCAGCAACATGTCAGGTTCCAACAGTCCGATGCTGAACAGCATAACGGATGTCAGCATCGGCGACATTTACAACCACGTGTGCGCAACATGATAGAGCAACCCATCCTTGAGGAGCACGGCGGAATGACCAACAAAGCGGGACGGCACCAAACCCCACTAACACCATGCAACCCCAAGACGGTTGGGCACCCCAACGGTGGATCCCGGAATTCGGTCCCTGCCATCGGCTGACTTTTGGGTATTGGTGGTTTCTGTAGCAATATTCGCCCTCGGTACCTCACATGGCGTCCTTAGCTACTCTGTGCACGACGGGTGCTTGCCGCACGACGTTGAATGGCAAAACGGGTGCCAAAAGCATGGTTATGACCAGTATGGGTGAGGGCTGCACTGCTGAGGTTGACTAGCCGCTGAAATGTCAGAGGTCCCTCCTCCTTCTCCTGCTGCTCCTCCCCTCCTCCTCCTCCTCCTCCTATTTCTCCTCCTCTTTCTAGTTTCCTCTCTTGACCTCCTCTTGAAGCTGGGAAAGGTCGCTGCGCCTGCGCGCCCGTCTCCTCGATGGAGCGGCGCACCATCGAGAGCTCCTGCTGCAGCACCTCCGTGGGAGGGAGGGGGAGGAAGAGGCGGAGGAGGTGAGGAGGAAGAGGAGGAGGAGGAAGAGGAAGAGGAGGAGGAGGAGGAGGAAGAGGAGGAGGAGGAAGAGGAGGAGGAGGAGGAAGAGGAGGGAGGAGTAAGGAGTGAGGAGTGAGGAGTGAGGAGGAGGAGGAGGAGGAGGAGGAGGAGGAAGAGACGGAGGAGGAGGAAGAGGAGGAGTGAGGAGTGAGGAGTGAGGAGGAAGAGGAGGAGGAGAAGGAGGAGGAGGGGGAGGAGGAAGAGGAGGAGGCGGAGGAGTGAGAGTGAAAGCGAGAAACAAGCTGGCCAGGTCGATCGAGGCAGAGAGGCTGGCCCATTCCCACCGACACCCCCACAACATACGACGAGTCTGTGGCACAACTTCGCGGCGCAACACTTCCACTTTCCCTAACAAGCTGCGCGGCGCTTGGGCGAGGTCTGCATTTCGCCCGCTCTCGTGCGGCCCCGCTGCCGCTGCCTTTTCATGCTGTTCGGCGAATGAGCCACGCGCCGCGCCTGCGCGGGAACGCCACTCCCGAGCGAAACGCGCACGGACCTTGGGCGAGGGCAACAAGTCGCCCACTCGCGCGCCCCCCCCTCCAGATAGGCGAGTGAAAGAAATGCACCGCGTCAGAGCGGGAACGCCACTTTCAGCCGAAAGCTGCGCGTCGCCCCAAGGAGAGAGCGACCCTTTCTTCCGCTCGCGCGTCGACGAACTTGCGTGCGAAAGGAGCTCAATTCTTTGAAAAAGCAAGCGCATCGCCAAAGCGAGAACGACATTTCGGCCTTTCGCGCTGGATGTGTACTTAAATTTGTTTGTTATGTGTATTTGAAGCATGTGCGACGTAATGTCAATGTTGAGACAAACATCGTAAATCTTGGGTTGTTTTTTGGCACGTCAGATGGAGGGTCCCGGATGTGGTCGCTGTCGGACAGCTACGGGGCAGAGTAGAAGTATACACAAATCGAGTCCGCCAGGTCGAAGGAATCCAAGGGTCCCGCCTGTTCCCACCTTCCCCCCCGCAACGGAATACTCGATTGTGGCACTATTTGAAAGTCAAATTGGCGCGCTTCCACTTCGCAAGCGGAAGACGCTCGCTCGCCGGGGACCACTGCGCCGGCCGCCAATGGGCGAGAACGGAAACACTTCCAGTGGGCGCGGCGAGGACGAAACATGCGCCGCACTGCCATCGCGCTGCCAATTTGACAAACAAACTGCACGGTGCTTATACGAGGTCGGCCTTTCGCCCGCTCTCGCGCGGCCCAGCTGCCGCTGTCGCATTCATTCGGTTCGGCGAACGAACCGCGCGCAGCGCCCGCGCGGGAACGCCGCTTCCGAGAGAAACGACAAGTCGCCTCGCCCATTCGCGCCCCCCCCCCCCCCCCCCATATAGGCGAATGAAAAATATGCGCCGCGCTGAAACGGGAACGCCACTTTCAGGCGAAATCTGCGCGGCGCCGAATAGAGAGAGAGACAGATTCGTCCGCTCGCGCATCGACGACATGGCGTGCGACATATGTGCGCCGTGCCCAGGCGAGGATTCAATCTGTAGGAAATTGAGCGCAACGCCGAAACGAGAGCAACATTTCGGCTTTTCGCGAGGGATGCGCACCGCGCCCCATTCCTACCACTCATTTTGCAACGTCGGAGGCATTATGTCAATGCTGAAACGAACATCATTGATCTTGTGTGGTCTTCCCTATGAATTTGTATGCTCACGCCTTTTTCGAAGAAGAAGAGGAATCGGAGAAATAAGGAGGGGTCGGGGGGAGGCGGAAAGGGAAGAGGGAGGGGGCGGGGAGAAGTGTGCTGAAACCGCACATGCTACCCCGTGGGCCGGATGGTTGCGACCGCGGATGCCTTCATTGGGAACGTCTGCGAGCATTCCCCGAGGCCTTGCAACACATGGCTTCGGAGGACAGAGCTGTGCTTTGACTTCGGCCGATTTCAATGACTCTGGCTACGCCAGCATGGCCACGCTAGCATACGTGTATGTATGTGTAGATATATATGCATGTAATATGTACACATGTTTTTCAATACCTCTCCATATTTGTACATATATATATATGTGTATACATATGTATATCACTAGAACCACGCCCGCGCCTCACGCGCGATTAGGTTCTAGTCAATTTCTAAGACCTCATCCCCATCCTCACCTTCATCGTCTATATCCTCATGTACTCCCATGGCAGGCACGCGATCCCGGAGGCTACGAAAGCGGGGGTGTGGCCAACGGCGTCGACAGCGTCGTCGGCGCCGTCGTCGCCGCCGTCGTCGCAGTCGCGGGAGGGGCAGAGGGAAGGAGGGAAAGGAGGGAGAAGGGAGGAGGGAGGGAGGTAGGGGAAACGGAAGCAAGGAGGCAGAAGAGGCAAAAAAGGAGGAAAGAAAGCGAGGGATGGACCTGCAGATGCGTAGGGATTCCTGTACCTTCATTTTCCTCCGCCTCCTCATTTTTGTTTTCCTCCTCCTCCTCTTCCTCCTGCTCCTCCCCCTCGTTATCCTCCCCCTCGTCCTCTGCCTTCGCGCCCCTCCTCCCCTCCTCGTCCTCTTCCTCTTTCGCCTGGCGGTGCCAATCATGTTTCCGGAAGGATCTCCGGGAAACTGATGGCTCTGGGAAAATGATTGTTTGAACCGTGTTGGTGGCCATCTGGGATACCTCAGGGCCCGTCTTTGAACGGTCTGGGAAGGCAGGAAGCAGGGAGGGAGCAGCGGCTGAGTAGGGGTTGCGCCTCTATCTTCTGTTGTTCAACGGGACGTCTCTCGCGCCGTCTCCGAGTGCAGGGAAGCGCAGGCAGACGACGACGGCAAAATCTGTGAAAGAAGCTGTGGGGCCACTTTGGAGGTCACGGGGTCACTCGAGGGGCACCCGGAACGGCCATGCGCCACCATGCCGTGGTTCCAGGCCCGCCCGCGGTATGTATATGTGTAGGTGTGTATCCATATATTCATATACATATACACTTACATCTAAATCTACGCATTCATACACACATATAGACAAACATATATGCATGTATATCTGTGTATATATATATATACATATATACTAGAACCATCGCGCGCGCTTCGCGCGCGCTCAGGTTCTAGCCCAGGCCGGGGGGGTGCTGGACGATCTTGGACAACGCTATCAAGCACAGGCGCGCGACGGCATCTGAGGAGCTTCTGGGGTGTTCCGCATGCTTCGTCAACTGGCTGTTGGAGGCACCTCTTGGGTGCTTCTTGGGGGGGCGTCTGAGGGTCCCTTGGGGGCATCGGTTCTGCAATCTGAAGCCGTCATTGGCCGTCTTGGCTGCGTGGAGGCCCGACTTGAGGCCACCTGCGGCCAGATTGAGGCAATCCGGAAGCCTCCCGGGGGCCTCCTGGAAGCAGTTTTGACGCATCGAGGGCACTCTTGGGCTATTTTAAAACCTCTTGGACCTCTCCTAGGGGCCTTTTGGGCCCTCGGGAAGCTTTTGGGGTCCTCGTCGGACCACTTGGGGGCCTCTTGCGGCCTCCTGTGGGCCTTGTGGGGGGACCGCTCTGCTGTTGGGTCGCGTTCCCCTTCTTGGGCCTCTCTTGGGGCTCTTGGGGCCCTCTCGGGCCGTCTTGGGCGCCTCAAGCACCGTCTTGGGGCCCTCGCGGGCCGTCTTGGGGCCCTCTTGGAGGCCTCTTCCTCTATGTGGCAGCGGTATTGGAAGCCTCTTGGGCCGTCTTGGAACATCGGGATGCCAAAAGGCAGAAAAAATCCAAACCCGTCAAAGCCCAATCGTAAAACAATGAGTGCCTCTTGGGGCCACCTTGGGAGATCTCTTGGAACCTCGTCGGCCCTCTTGGGAGCTTCTTGGGGGCCTCTTGGATCCGATTGGGGGCCTCTTGGGACTTCCCGAGAACCTCTCGGGGTAGAAAGCTCGGATTCTCGGTTCGTGTTTCCCTTCTTGGGCCTCTCTTGGGGCCGTCTTGGGGCCCTCTCGGGCCGTCTTGGGCGCCTCAGGCACCGCCTTGGGGCCCTCGTGGGCCGCCCAGGGCCCTCTTGGAAGCCTCTTCGGCTATCTTGGAGCTGTCTGGGAGGCCTCTTCCTCCTCCTTGTCCCCCTCCTCCTCCTCCTCCCACTCCAGCTCTCTCTCCTCCTGATCTTCCTCCTCCTCCTCCTGCAGCGTGTTCCGGAAGGCTCCCGCCAGAACATGCTGTGCACAAGTGCTGTCACTGCTCCCGCCACCGTGCCCTGGGTGGTGGGTCAGAGGCCTCATGGGTGTTGGTTTGGATCTCGTGGTTGGCCTGTCGGGGACGTCGTGAAGGCAGTTTCGCAGCTTCTCGGTAGCCGTTTTGGGACCGTTGTGGGGCCTCCTCGGGGCTGTTTTGTGGCCTCTTTAGGCCTCGTTTGGGCCTCCTGGGTGCCTCTTGGGGGCCTCCTGGGGCCTCTTGGGGGCTCCTTGGGGCCTCCTGGGGCACTCTTCAAGCGGGAGGGTCGAATTTTGGAGTCGTGGTCCCCCTCTTGGGCGCATCTTGGGGCCGTCTTGGGGCTCTGTTGGGCTGTCTTGGGCGACTCTGGGGCCGTCTTGGGGCCCTCTTGGGCCGTCTTGGGGCGCTCTTGGGGGCCTATTGAGCCGTCTTGGAACGTCGGACAGCCGAAAAGGCTGGAAGACCAAAATCGTTCGAACACCTTCGTAAAATTCATGATTTCGGCCTCTTGAAGCGCTCTGGAGAGGCGTCTTGAAGCGTCGTGGAGTGCCTTGGGGGGCCTCTCGGGCCCTCTTGGGCCTATCTTGGGCGTCCTGGAGCGGTCTTTCGGCGACTCGGGGCCCGCTTGGGCCGTCTTGGGAGCCTCTGGAGGCCCTCCTGGACTATTTTGGACCTCCCCGGCCGCCCCGTCCTCCCATGGGGGGTCGGAGGCGGCGGCCTCCGAGGCCCAGGACGCGAAACCCTTTAAAAACATAAGGAAAATGAGCCCCGGTACCCCCATGGAGGCTCTTCGGCGCTCTTGGACCGTTGGAAGCTCGAAAACGCGAGAAGCCAAAAACATTGAAAAGACCATTGAACATATACGACTTTGGCCTCTTCGGGCCGTACCGTGATACCTATCAGACTTCTTGGGGCCTCTTGGAGGCCACCTGGGAGCCTCGAGAGCCGTCGGAAAGCTGACTTGGGCTGCTCGGGAGCGTCTTGGGCCATCCTTTCGAATTCTGGGGGCTCCTGGGGGGCGTCTTGGGCCCTCCTGGAACGCTGTGGAGGCTGCCCGGAAAGGATGGGGCAGCGGTGCCGGGAGCGTCCCCGAGATGTGGCCATATCTTTTCAGCGCGTTCCGGGGGCATCTTCCCAGAACGCGCTCGTGACAGGGCGCCCACGTCCGAGGAGGTTGGCATGGGAAACCGCAGCGCGTGATCATTCCAGCGCGTTCCGGCGAAGACCGTCCGTAACGCGCTTGGGCAAGCGCTGGGTTTGGGGAAGGCGAGTGGGAACCGTTCAGGCAGTTTGGGATGCTCGGGGCAAGAGGCGGAAACCATCCTCATAAGACATGCAGTCTTCCTGGAGCCGTCTTGCAGAAATCTCCGGAAAAATGAGACCCTGCAGTCGTTCCTGGAGCCGTCTTGGAGCCCTCTTGGGCTGCCCTGGAGCCTGTTGGAGCCCTCTGCGGAATGGTCTTGGAGCCCGCGCCGAGGATCTGGAAAATGTCCGGGACCATCGCGGCGGCCTCCGAGGCCCGGGATGCCGAACCACCGAAAAAACACAGCGAAAATGAGCCCTGGTACTCCCATGGAGGGTCGGGCAGCTGTTTTCGGGCCCCTGGGCTAGAACCATCGCGCGCGCTTCGCGCGCGCTCAGGTTCTAGCCCAGGCCGGGGGGGCACTGGACGATCTTGGACAACGCTATCAAGCACAGGCGCGCGACGGCATCTGAGGAGCTTCTGGGGTGTTCCGCATGCTTCGTCAACTGGCTTTTGGAGGCACCTCTTGGGTGCTTCTTGGGGGGGCGTCTGAGGGTCCCTTGGGGGCATCGGTTCTGCAATCTGAAGCCGTCATTGGCCGTCTTGGCTGCGTGGAGGCCCGACTTGAGGCCACCTGCGGCCAGATTGAGGCAATCCGGAAGCCTCCCGGGGGCCTCCTGGAAGCAGTTTTGACGCATCGAGGGCACTCTTGGGCTATTTTAAAACCTCTTGGACGTCTCCTAGGGGCCTTTTAGGCCCTCGGGAAGCTTTTGGGGTCCTCGTCGGACCACTTGGGGGCCTCTTGCGGCCTCCTGTGGGCCTTGTGGGGGGACCGCTCTGCTGTTGGGTCGCGTTCCCCTTCTTGGGCCTCTCTTGGGGCTCTTGGGGCCCTCTCGGGCCGTCTTGGGCGCCTCAAGCACCGTCTTGGGGCCCTCTTGGAGGCCTCTTCCTCTATATGGGAGCGGCATTGGAAGCCTCTTGGGCCGTCTTGGAGCATCGGGATGCCAAAAGGCAGAAAAAAAAAACCCGTCAAAGCCCAATCGTAAAACAATGAGTGCCTCTTGGGGCCACCTTGGGAGATCTCTTGGAACCTCGTCGGCCCTCTTGGGAGCTTCTTGGGGGCCTCTTGGATCCGATTGGGGGCCTCTTGGGACTTCCCGAGAACCTCTCGGGGTAGAAAGCTCGGATTCTCGGTTCGTGTTTCCCTTCTTGGGCCTCTCTTGGGGCCGTCTTGGGGCCCTCTCGGGCCGTCTTGGGCGCCTCAGGCACCGCCTTGGGGCCCTCGTGGGCCGCCCAGGGCCCTCTTGGAAGCCTCTTCGGCTATCTTGGAGCTGTCTGGGAGGCCTCTTCCTCCTCCTTGTCCCCCTCCTCCTCCTCCCACTCCAGCTCTCTCTCTCCTCCTGATCTTCCTCCTCCTCCTCCTGCAGCGTGTTCCGGAAGGCTCCCGCCAGAACATGCTGTGCACAAGTGCTGTCACTGCTCCCGCCACCGTGCCCTGGGTGGTGGGTCAGAGGCCTCATGGGTGTTGGTTTGGATCTCGTGGTTGGCCTGTCGGGGACGTCGTGAAGGCAATTTCGCAGCTTCTCGGTAGCCGTTTTGGGACCGTTGTGGGGCCTCCTCGGGGCTGTTTTGTGGCCTCTGTAGGCCTCGTTTGGGCCTCCTGGGTGCCTCTTGGGGGCCTCCTGGGGCCTCTTGGGGGCTCCTTGGGGCACTCTTCAAGCGGGAGGGTCGAATTTTGGAGTCGTGGTCCCCCTCTTGGGCGCATCTTGGGGCCGTCTTGGGGCTCTGTTGGGCTGTCTTGGGCGACTCTGGGGCCGTCTTGGGGCCCTCTTGGGCCGTCTTGGGGCGCTCTTGGGGGCCTATTGAGCCGTCTTGGAACGTCGGACAGCCGAAAAGGCTGGAAGGCCAAAATCGTTCGAACACCTTCGTAAAATTGACGATTTCGGCCTCTTGAAGCGCTCTGGAGAGGCGTCTTGAAGCGTCGTGGAGTGCCTTGGGGGGCCTCTCGGGCCGTCTTGGGCCTATCTTGGGCGTCCTGGAGCGGTCTTTCGGCGACTCGGGGCCCGCTTGGGCCGTCTTGGCCGCCTCTGGAGGCCCTCCTGGAGTATTTTGGACCTCCCCGGGCGCCCCGTCCTCCCATGGGGGGTCGGAGGCGGCGGCCTCCGAGGCCCAGGACGCGGAAAGCCCCGGTGCCCCCATGGAGGGTCGAGGCAGCTGTTTTCGGGCCCCAGGCCTGCTCCCCTGGGATATATATATATATACACACACACATATATGTTATATATATATATATATGTATACACACACACACCTCCCTGCTGGGGCGGAACCCCAACCCGGTTTCTCCGCGACGCGGCCCTTTCCAGAACAAGCCATTCCAATGCTAGTGACGTCGTGAGTGTTACGCGACATGCGTGGGCCCTGGAAGTCTTGACGCCTTCACAGGGACCTCGTTCTCGCTGCCAGTCAATAACCGATTGTCTCTGGGCTTGAAAACGGGCCCCAGACACCCCAGCAGCGTAACCACACCAGTCTTTTTTTCCGTGCCGCTTGTAGGTCTGGGCCTCGAGGGGTCGAACTGCTTACAATTGCCGGTTGCGTACTCCTCTCTTGCACACATGTATATACAAGTATATGTTGTATATGTGTACGTGTATGTATACTTTATAAGTATGTCATCTCTCTATGTTCTTTGGAATACAATGTGCGTAATCTGGCAACAGAGCGACAATCTGCAAACACGATAATGAGCCGTGCGACCGAGATGTTTTTCCGAACCCTCCTTGGTTGGGTATTCGTTTTGCGTAGAACACCGCGGTCGATTCTTCCTCCTCCCGCTTCCCGCCTCCTGCCTCCCGCCTCCTGCCTCCCGCGAGACCTCGCCGTCACTGGGGGGGGGGGGGGGGGGCGATCTGCGAAACTGTCGCCACTTTCGAGGGCTGCTGGTGGGTCCAGCGGAGTGAGGCACCGCGCAGACCTGAGCGGTAGCTCGCTGTGCCTGGGGGGCTGCGATCTGCGAAACTGTCGCCACCTTCGAGGGCTGCAAGTGGGTCCAGCGGAGTGAGGCACGCGCAGACCTGAGGGGTAGCTCGCCGTCCCTTGGGGGCTGCGATCTGCGAAACCGTCGCCACTTTCGAGGGCTGCTCGTGGGCCCAACGGAGTGAGGCACCGCGCAAACCTGAGCGGTAGCTCGCCGTCCCTGGGGGGCTGCGATCTGCGAAACTGTCGCCACCTTCGAGGGCTGCTGGTGGGTCCAGCAGAGTGAGGAATCGCGCAGACCTGAGCGGTAGCTCGCCGTCCCTGGGGGGCTGCGATCTGCAAACCCGTCGCCACTTGCGAGGGCTGCTGGTGGGTCCAGCGGAGTGAGGCACCGCGCAGACCTGAGCGGTAGCTCGCCGTCCCTGGGGGGCTGCGATCTGCGAAACTGTCGCCACCTTCGAGGGCTGCTGGTGGGTCCAGCAGAGTGAGGAATCGCGCAGACCTGAGCGGTAGCTCGCCGTCCCTGGGGGGCTGCGATCTGCAAACCCGTCGCCACTTGCGAGGGCTGCTGGTGGGTCCAGCGGAGTGAGGCACCGCGCAGACCTGAGCGGTAGCTCGCCGTCCCTGGGGGGCTGCGATCTGCGAAACTGTCGCCACCTTCGAGGGCTGCAAGTGGGACCAGCGGAGTGAGGCACCGCGCAGACCTGAGCGGTAGCTCGCCGTCCCTGGGGGGCTGCGATCTGCTAAACTGTCGCCACTTGCGAGGGCTGCTGGTGGGTCCAGCGGAGTGAGGCACCGCGCAGACATGAGCGGTAGCTCGCCGTCCCTGGGGGGGCTGCGATCTGCGAAACCGTCGCCACTTTCGAGGGTTGCTGGTGGGTCCAGCGGAGTGACCTTTCGAGGGCTGCTGGTGGGTCCAGCGGAGTGAGGCACCGCGCAGACCTGAGCGGTAGCTCGCCGTCCCTGGGGGGCTGCGATCTGCGAAACTGTCGCCACCTTCGAGGGCTGCTGGTGGGTCCGGCGGAGTGAGGCACCACGCAGATCTGAGCGGGACCTCGCAATCCCGTGGGGACTGCGAGCATCACGAATGCCGCTCGCAGAAATACATGCGTCCATGTCACGTCATCACCAACGTATAACGTCTCCCAAGCTACTCATGCCCCGCATTGCGCAGGGGTTGGGTACGTCGCCAGGGTAATTATCAGAATTTCTTGCGACCAGCCCGTTACCACGAGAAAACCCGACCATCGAAACATAACACATACACGCCGTATCTCTCAATTCGACTGGTCCCACAGCCGACCGGCTGTCAGCCTGCCGCCGGCGTGGCCCCTCCCGCCCCCAGGGCGCCGCCGCCAGCTCCGCCACGCGTAAGCCATCCCCTTCCATCGCCAGCGGCGCCCGGCTTCAGGCGGCAGGAGGAAGGGGGGGGGGAAGGGGGTGTAGGAAGGGGGAGGGGGAAGGAGGAAGAGAAGGAGGAGGAGGAGGAGGAGGAGGAGGAGGAGGAGGAGGAGGAGGAGGAGGAGGAGGAGGAGAGGAGGAGGAGGAGGAGAGGAGGAGGAGGAGGAGGAGGAAGAGGAGGACGAGGAGGAGGAAAAGGAGGAGGAGGAGAGGAGGAGGAGGAGGAGGAGGAGGGGAGGAAAAAGGAAGGAGAATGAGGAGGAGGAGGAGGAGGAGGAGAGAGAGGAGGAGGAGAGGAGGAGGAGGAGGGAGGAGGAGGAGAGAGGAGGAGGAAGAGGAGGACGAGAAGGAGGAGGAGGAGGAGGAGGAGGAGGAGGAGGAGGGGGAGGAGGTGGAGGAGGAGGAGGAGGCGGAACACGTAGCAGGAGGAGGAGGAGGAGGAGGAGGAAGAGGAGGACGAGGAGGAGGCTATGGAGATGGAGATGGAAATCGAGGAGGAGGAGGATGAACACGTAATTAGCAGGAGGGGGATGAGGTGGAGGAGGAAGAGTTCACCTCGCGGGCTGTGGAGGAGTCTGGGAGGATGCCGGTGAGGAGCAGGAGGGTGGTCAGGAGGTGAGAAGGAGGAGAATGAGGAGGAGTAGGAGGACGCGGAGAAGTAGAGGGGGCGGAGTGGGGGGGAGTGAGAAAACAAGGAACAGCAATAGCCTAAGGAGGATGTTGGGGGAGAAAACGATGATGATGAGGAGCATGAGGTGAGGAGAAGGAGGAGGAGGAGGTCAGGTAATGTAAGGCAAGGCGCTCGTGGAGGTAAGTCCGAACGGTCGAAACCCGATGGGCTCTTCTGGCCTCCCTGCGAAGGGACGATTGGGCAGGGCCCCCTTTCTGGGCCTGCGCGCGGGAGCGGGCGGAGTCTCGGCCCTCGGCCCGCTGCCGCCACGCGGGGGGACACCCACAACATCGAAATAGGGGGGGGGGGGAACCGTCACCCCATCTGATGGGGTCAGGATCTCCCGACCGCTGGCAGGGCACAGATAAAGCGGGGCAGCGAGCGGCGAGGGGATGAGCGAAGGGCGGCGGCCGCGCGCTCTCCACCCTCGCCTCCCCCCCTCCGAAGGGCCCCCTCCTCTCCACCCCCCGACCCCCACTAAAATTAAGGTTGGCTCGGTGGACCCCGTAGCCGAATTCAAGAGGCTGGCTTGCTCATGTGCTCACGATGCTCATCACGGAGGGTACTGTATTGATTTCCTCTCCCATTGGTAGTATACCCCATCTCGCTTACGCAGTGCAATACTAACGTATATGTCCGTGTTTGCCTAGGCAGTATACTTCTGTCGGGGTCTGCACTGTTTAGTTCTGTCCACCAATTGTGTTGTGAACAACGGGTCCTGCGCCGACTTCTCAGGCCTTGCTGTTGGTGCTCGGCGCTTATGGGGGAAGGCGTCATCTTCCTTCTTCTTGCCATCCTCCAGTTGCTTCTCGAGCTCCTTGGTCCTGGCCCTCAGCGCTGTTGTTCGGGGCGTGCTCGGACTGCTGCTCGCACTCGTGCCCGACGCTCCTGCTCCTCCACCGTGCAAGCGCTGGTACCCTTCTGGCTCGATCCACTTCGACGGGTCTTTCTGCTGCCATCCATACTGCGGCCACGTGCTAGGATCGCTGTGATTCCACGGCGGCTGGTAAGGGGCCCCGCTCGTTTGAATCATCAGCGCCTCCATCCCGTTTTCCTCCACGAACTGGGCCTGCTCGTCGCTCTGCGGCCCCGCGTAGTCCTTGCCGGCGTAGTGCTCGATCTCCTCGTGCATCTTCTCGTGCAGCATGCTGGGTGTCTCCGTCATCTTCTGAATCGCGATCTCTATCACGTTGGCCTGGTTCTCCAGCTGGTAGTATCACTCTTCTTGGGCAATGTCCTCTGCCGCGGTGTTCGTCTTCCCCATCTTGGTCCTGGCCGTGGAGTGGAGATCGCCAGCGTGCGTTTGTGGTCCTTCATCGTCTCCAACTCCTGCCATATTCCTTTCGTCACTGTCTGGAGGACGTGCTTCGTGCTCTTCAAGTTTACCTCCGCGCGCTTCAGCGCGTGCTCGAACGTGCCCACCTCCGTGGCCCCCTCGTCTCGGTAGTAGGTGCCCTTCACTCCGCTGGCCGACGTGACTCCGCAGTGGTAGTAGCTCGTAGCTTTCCCCTCGTGGTGGGAATCAGAATCCCGTCGCTGACTGTCCTGGTCTGAGCCTGAACAGCTGGTGTCGGATCACAACATTTGGACAATTATTGGTCGTAGTACTAGCGGGAGTCGTTCTTTTCTCTAGGGCTTCGAATCCGTCAGGGTTCTCACGCAGTGTCTTTTGAGTCCCACGGGGCCCCTTGCGTTTCGCCCCTAGCCGTGCTCTGCACGCGGTCATATTCCTCCCCAGTTGTATGGGGTTTTCCGATCGTGGTGGTGGTGCTCGTCATAAATACTGGACAACGCTCGTCCGCGGCTCATAGCTGGGGCCCACGCGCGCTTTTCTGATGCTTCGCTTCCGGCTCCCAGTCTGTTTGTTCCCTTGGCCCTACTCGAACGATGGTTCCCAATTAACCTCCCCTCGGTCTCGCCCTGCTGCCTCTTCCTCCTCCAGCGCAAGATCTTCTTGTGTACAGGGGCCTCTGATCCGTCCACCTTTTGTTGGTATACTGTATACATGATGCCCTCTCAATAGTCAACATGATCGCCCGAATAATCTGGACATGTTCCCGCGTGGAGTCAATGGCGCGGCTGCGGGGGCGAATGGTCGTCAGGCTGACAAGATGGGTCGGATTCGCCGTGCGTGCACTGAGTAGCTGTTTTTCCTCTGCAGGATCCCCCCTGCTGATGCAGGGTCACATGCGCGAGCTCGAATGATGCAATCGCTTCGCCCAGCGTGGGAACAGCGCGGTTGAGATCTGCAACGCACGCAAAAAAACTCGCTCGATGTCATCACTTGGCCAGTCATCCTCTTCTTCTCCCCCTCCTTCCATCTTAGTGAGTCGCATCCCTCGGCCGTTCTTTTTTGGTGTGAATACTGGCTTGTTGCCCAAATCACCTCTTAACCAGACCCTTAGTACGTGTAACCCCGTTCCGTCAACGCCCTGGGAGAATATGTGACCAGCTGGCCCCTGGAATCGTAGTTCTAGATGTCCGTCCGTCGCTGTCCGTGGTAGATGGCGCCCTGCAAGCCGAGCCTCAGCACCGCCAGGAGTAGTTATCACTGCAGGCCACCCCTGCCCCTGCAGTCTGGCAAAGAATGACTGTTCGCTTGCTCTCCTGGCGCGGTTGTGCTTCGCTGGCTCTCGTAATGCATGCATTTTGCCGCTGTTGGCTGAGCTTTGTGAGCCTCGCGGGGTCTTTGCCCAAGTCCTCGGTGCATTTTTCTTCTTTTGTCCTCGGTGGGGCTGCATCCGGTGGTCCTGGGCCCCTCCGCGCTGTGTGCGACGCTCCTGGGCCCTGGGCTTTCCTGGGTGCAAGACTGTATCGTGTGCGTCGGAGTCGACGTGCTCTCTGCTCTGCTCGCTGCCTAGCGCCTCTGGAGCGCCTTCGAATTCCTCTCGCACGTCCGCTCGAGCTCCGTCTTCGGTCTGCAGCTCGCCGCCGTCCTGCCCCCCGGGGAGAACAGTCCGTGGTCGATCGCTGCCATGGGCTTCGACGCGTGGACCCCGTCGATCTTCTCGACGGGTTTCGGGGGACTTGCGTGCCCATCATCGCCGGGCTGACGCGCGGCATCGGGTTCACAGCGTAGCTCGCCTTGCCCAGCCGACGTTCGTCGTCCGCGTCGCTGAGCTCGCGCGCGTCCGCGGCCTTGCTGCGCGGGGTCGTCTCCGCCGAGAAATGTGGCCCCCGCTCCGTCTCCACCGCCCCTTGCCTTTGTCTCTGACTTGTTGCGCGTAGTCTCTGCCTGCTTTTGTCGTGGCCATGCGCGCTGCGCGCAGGATCGGCGCCGGCCAGCAACTCGATGCGAGGCGCTTGACTCCGATGCCCGCGCGCCACATCTCGAGCGCCTTTTTCTTGGGCGCATCGCGCAGAGTGCGGCCCCGCATGATGCTGCCGCGCGCGGCGTTGCAGCTCTCTCAATTCTTGAACCATGCGGTTGCAGATGGCGCGTGCCAGCGACTCGGGCTGCTGCGCTTCGCGTCTCCATTTGCCGTGGTCGATGTGGCATGCCCCGAACAGGTCTGCACCCCTAGTCGCACGGCCAGTCGCCGTGCGCCGATTGCTGAACGTGCTGAGGCACCGCGGGTACTGGTTCGCCACGACGAATTGTGCCACCAACGGCCTGACATGTGTCTCCCGTCTGTGCCCCCCCGGTGCCCGTGCTGTTGCAAATCTGTTGCCGCGCGTGTATCTGTCCCCCTCCCCCCCCATGCGCATGTGGTCGCGCCAGTAGGGTTTGTGGACGATTTCCTGTGACTCCTTCTCTCCGTCCCTCCCCTCCTGATGGTTATATGTTGTAGCTGCGCCGCGCAATGTGGCTGGGTCCGTATTTGTCCTGTGTTCGCACTGCTGTATCCCAAGTGTCAATGGGTTGATTTCTGACTTGCGAGTCGCGTGCAAGACCCTCACATCTTCGTGCGTCGCAGCCAGCGAACCCGAATCGGTCTCCGCATTGCCTGGCCCACGGGACCTGTGCCTGCTCGCAAATGCATGTGTGCAGTCGTAGTACGAGTGCACTGCGCTGTGTCTCAGCTCCCCTGCTCTCCACTGCGAGGCCTGCGCGCGAAGGGCGGCGTTCTCTCTGCACCTGTGTGCTATCCCTTCCTGTGCCCGAGCTGGGTGGGAGATCAGCTGCAAACCGCGATCCTCGCGACGCGAGGTAAGCCGCGCGAGAGTTTTCGACCGATAGGCCTGCTCCCTACCCCCGCCGGAATGTTCTGGAAACTGGATCGCCGTGACATAGGCGCCTGGAAGGCATGTGCCAAGCGGCCTTGCATGCGTGGCGTTTCTGGCAGGAGCTGTGAGAGAGCGGTCTGGGAGCAGAGTCTAGTGGTCGAACCGAACTTGAATGCAGGGGGGTGCTCGTCGGAGTGCCTCGTTGATTTAACG